GGGCTAGCACAGGTTCTTTAGCCATTACTTTTTTTGTGGCAGGCCTATTTGAAGCTTCTGATGTATATTTTTGTTGTTCGAGCTGTGTTATTTGCCTTATTTCTGCTAGGCTGGTACATGGAATTTTATTACAATTTCTTGCAAATAATGCCTGTGTTATATATAACTGGCATAGGTGAAATAGATGTAGAGTTAATAAAAGTAACAGAAACGTAAATAGCAATAGTATAAAAAGATAGCTACTATTGATTTACATTTCTAACGGGTAATTGCATTTCCAAAATAATTATACTAATAAAATTGTGGTTGTATCCTGAAACATTTTTTAAATATAAATTTTATCTCTAGACTTTCATCTGCCCCTGTTTCCAGCTGAAATAGTGCAACATAGAAGTTGATTAGAATTCTCTAACAGTGAACCTACAAGTTGAATCCTGTTGTTATATTCTATTTTATTGAATAGTAAAATGATGAAGAGTGCAGGTAATACCGAAAAGAGCAATATTCCTTTATTTAATTTTTCAATTTAAAGTTAAGAACATTTTGGTTAATGGAAGGTGAAAATGGTATTAAGGAAGTTATTATTTATTGGTGATTTATACAGCAGTGAGATTGTATTGTAAAGCACTGAGTTAGAAAAATTGACATGATAAGTCTCCTTAACTCTCAGACATTGGAGAATTGCCCTTGGTCCTTGTTGAATAATACATATTGGCTGATATAAACAAGGTACAAAGTGTGTATAGATTCATTTAGAACTCCCGGGTGGGAAAATTTGAGTAGGTTTTCAATAAAGAGTCTATTATCCCTTGGTAACTGAGAACATTACATATGAAAACTATGGCATTTAAAATGAGTAATCTTATATCCAGACAGTGTTGGCTGACAATGCCATATTCTCCTTTTTGAGCTAATCATAGCCTTTAATTACCAGATATCTTTTTTTAATGGTAGCCATTTCTCAGATGTTCTAGTTAGGTGTTTGCCTAGTAGTGACGAAAATTTAGCAAGTTCCTATTAGCGATGCAGTGATGTTTTATTGCTCAAATACTAGAATAAGGAAAAATCTACCCCTCGTTGGTCACACTGTGCCAACATTTGTGAGATAACTCATCTAGTAGACTGTACATTCCCCAGGGCAAAGACTTTCATGTTTATATTTGTAATCTGCCATTCAGACCAATGGGACATTGTAGTCCGTAAACAACAGTAGCTGAATGCCAGTTAATTTCAGATTATAGGCTGAATAAGACATTCAGACTGTAATTTTGCTTTCTAGGTATGGTTATCTAAGACTTTATATGGCAATTTCACTAGAGGAGCAAAAATTTTCATGTGATCCCATGCAGGAAAAATATCCACAATCATTCCAAACCAAATGCCTGTGAGGACTTGTTAGATCTTTCATTTGTTAATGTAAGTGCTGTTGTTTTATTCTGAAAAACCTAATCAACACATTAATGCAGCAACTAAAAAACTCATTATTTTTCATAAAATCTTACATAAAAGAATAAGTTTTTACTAGTCTGCATCAGCAACACATATTATCTAGCATGGAGGCAGTTCTGTTTTATCAGAAAAGAAGGCATATTTCTGTGACAATAGTTTAATCTATTTCCAAAACACATCAATATAAAGGATAGTGAAAGTCTGAAGATGAAGACAATGAGAGTTGCTGAAGCTCAGAATGCCAGAACTTTCAGTGCTGAAAGCCTCTAACTCTTCAGGTGTGCCACATGAAGCTGCCTACCAGAATGAAACTAATGAGAAGTCATATTTTCAGTATTTTATTCCAATTTTTATTATTTTTTAAATGCTACAGTCTTTGATTATGGCAACAGCTGTTGGCAGTACTGTACAATATGTGTCTGCACAATATGTGTTCTCTCACATTTTGTTCTACAGAGAGTGAGACTTGGATTTATTTTTATTTAAAACTGAAGAAAGTGTTTTATAGGATGTTCAATAACTGGAATTCTTAAAAAGTCATCTTACAAGTCTTAGGGAAGGGTCACAGTTCAAGTGCACCGTGCAATGTCAGGGGAAATGTAGATTCTTCCTTTCCCTCTTTCTCTTTTCTCAATGATGTAGAGATATTTTTAAACAAGAATAAGTGTCAGACAATCATGTGTATTTTACAGCTTGCTCACACATTAGTCAAACATCTGCCATACAGTAATACTGTGACACGAACTGCAGTCAACTAAGGATTGTTCCTACCAGAAAAATTGATAGATTTATTGAAGAAACCCGCAGAAGATGCAAGCTTCAGTCTGGCTCTGTCTGTTTTCTTCCGTCATCTCTCATTTTGTACATGAATGTACATATGTATACACACACACACACACACACACACTATGCCCCCCAGGACTCTGGGTAATATTAAAAAAACCCACCTGTGTGCCTGTGAAATCCAGATCCCCTTTTCCAGTGAGATCTGGGGAATGCCAAACGACTTAAAGATAACATTTAGGCTTTGCTGGCCCGTGTGCCCTCATCTGAGCATGATGCCATTTCAACAGCAGTTCCACTCCTCCCTGCTGACCCTCCTTTGTCCCTCCTCTTTCCTGTCACCCTCTGTCTCGCTGCCAACAAAAATGTCTAATGATCTGAAAAATAATCTGAACTAGCTCTTTCCATCTGGATCTGTTCCGTGACGTGTCTCCCAGGGTGACCACACACAGCTGTGCTGCCGGGGGCATACGAGAGGGAATGATTTTAGCTGGGTCAAGTCGATCTGCCACTGTCTGTGAGACCATGGCCTCAGCCATTTCTACCATTTTTCTCCTTAATCTCACTCCAGCAATTAACCTGATCATCAGCTACTGGCGTTATGTGTCCCGTCACTCTTGAGCAGCTTTTGACATCCACAGGTTCCTCTGGGAGTCAGGAAGCAGAAGCAGAGGCAGAATCAGGCCTCCCCTTTCAGGAGGTGGCGTGCTCTGTGAAGGAGGCTTTCCAACTGGAGTACGAGCAGGAAAGTTTCTGCAGGACAGAGAATATCAATGCTGTGCTCTTCCACATCATGGGCAGCAACATTTTGCCCCTCACAGTTTCCTGGGCTGGTGGCTTCCCATGCTGGATATGGGCTGGAAAAGCCGGCGCTGCCTCAGCTCTGTCTATGCGTGCTTTGCCCCTTATGCAGTTTGAAGTTTTATGGTCCCTGTCAACACCTTCAGTCAATTCCTTCTCTCTATGCTGTGTGAGGTGGAGGATCTGCAGTGTGAAGGATGAGAACCACACAGTGAGCATAGTGACAGCACGTCTCTTCTGGTCAAGGTGGATGTAAAATCTCCCAGCTAGCCCTGACCCAAGTTGATAAAGGGTGTTGTGCCTATTTTTTCACTGTGGGATCATCACCCTGAACCCAAGCTGTGCATTCCTTCTTCCTTTTCTGATGTGCAAGACACCCAGTTGTGAACAGTCCCCTGAATACAAATTCATCATGTGAGATCTCTCCAGACCTGGCAGCCGAACACCCCACTTACCCTGTCATACCTCTCCTGTTCTCCTGTGTCCTGCACATGCCCTGTGCTGGTGGCTGCAGGGACCAGTGGGGCTGGACCCTCCTGGGGTGGCAGAAAGCTGCTGTTTGTCATTCTCCAAGCTTGGTTGTTGTGCTGGAGCCAGCTGGTGAGACCAGCCTGCATTTTACCTCCCCGAAGCCCAACTGCAGCAGGAGCCCTGACTGATTTGTCAGCTTGGAGTCACTTCTAAGTCTGAGGTGACCCAAGAAATCTTCAAAATCCCTCTGGGGACTAGCTGGCAGCTGAATGGCAGCCTTGAACATGCTGTTAGCATATAAATGACAGTCTTAGGTGAGCAAAGTGATCAATTGATATCAAAGTGTCTTTAACAATAAGTTCTCACTTCTTCCTGGTGAAAGCCAAGAGTCAAAGGTGGAACTTCTGTCACGGAAGAAAGGATAAGGCCAGAGATTGCCCACTGGAACAGCTGTTGGCTCACAGAGGGATGTAAAATATATTTTCCCCACCTGCTCAGTTTCCTCCAAGTCAATGAAATTAGAATCTGACCATTTTGTTCTGGTAACCTTTGAAAAGGTGTCAGGCTTGCCAAAAACCTCTGCTAATATACCAAAGGAAAAGGAAGCAAGTTGTAACACATGTTTTGGATCCAACAGTAACATTCTGTTGCACACATCTAAAACACAGCGGAGGGAACACAGTGCTGCTTTGGAGTGTGCCTAGTGACATGAATCACGATATTAGCTCAATATTTGCCCAAAGAGTGTAAATCACCAGGATTCAGGCAGCCTAACTTTGTTTATAAGAGCTGCACAAGGAAATATGTATACTGCAGCCTTGTTTCTCTTAACTGTCCAAGTTAGGCTTTCCCTATACACCAAGTAATTTTTGGTGTTCTTTTCCTTCTTTTTGAAGAAGAAAATTGCATAAATAACATGATAATGAAAGAAACGCTGCACCTCAGAGAGAATAAAACATTGGCAGCATAACCAAATTTGACATTATCATAGATTAGGGTTTGCAACACTGACAGTAATAAGCAACGGATCTATTTCATGTAAATTTAACATGAGACATCAAAAAAAGTGTTGGCTGGTGCCTGGTAAAGCTGTTTCAAGAAGAGCTTGGTCAGTCTAGTGAAGATCACGTGGAGCTCTGTGAGTCAGTCGACTGACTCTGAAAAGTGGAGTGTGGAGTGGGTCAGCAAGTTGTTGGCTTTGTGGCATTGGGAGAAGAAGGTGAGGGGTTTCTGTTGCCTGTGTGAAGGCCCTTTGGTAACTTGTGACCCTCTTGGACACTTCAAACCGAATCTGAGAAGGCACAAGTTTTCCAGTAATCCCCATTTATCAATTCCAGTTGGTAGGTGGATAAAGGACAGAGGTTTTCTTCATGACATATCTGAACAAATTAGTGCTCAGTGTCGGTTTTGGCAGCCCCACAGCTGGTCAGGTAGCAGGCACCTTCTAGCAGACCAGCTCTCCAAACTGTGCTTCCAACCTAGTCCCAGTGTTATCTCCTGCCCAAGTGACAAGATGGAAAAGGGCAGCAAGGGCATGAAGGAGAAATGAGTGGAGTCACCAGAAAGCCTGAGAAATGTGAAGGTAACTGGAGATATTGCAAGGCAAAATATTACAGGGACATGGAGGGTACGATGAAAGGACCAAGGGGACACGTGGTGAACCTATGATGCCAGAAGCAGAGATATGTTATTTGGGGTTAAGAAGGAAAGCTTTGGGGCACTGAACTGCAGGAAATCAAGGTTCAGTAGTTCTGCACCTCAGGGAACAACTTGTCTTCAGAGCTTGACAGTATTGCATTGTGGTTAAATGTGTCTGGAGGGATTGGTTTATTGCTAGCATGATATATGGATCCCTTACAGATACTTATCTTGGAGGTTGTGAAGAGGTTCAGCTAGCAATGGCAGGCTATAAATGGGGGAGGAGAAGGATGTCAAGCTTAACAGTGAGGAGGAAGGAAAACTGAAATAATAAATATTGATTTGGAGTATGTCACTTATTATCTCTGACTGAACAGGAAAATGTTATAATAATGTGATATTTATGTGAACCATAAATTATCCACGTCAAGCTCTTCTGCATTGGTGTTGACTAATCAACGAGCCATTCTGGGGGTGGTTGGCTTTACTATTCATTCAACAGCTTGAGTTTGTTATCGTATTTCATTGTATTTCTGTAGGCTGCACATTTTTATTAGTTTATAGAGATTTGTGGGATGCATGCCCTGGACTCAGAGAAATCACTTTTGCCAGATGGTTTGAGTCAGTAAGAGACTTGTCCTGACTTCAGTGATCCTTCGATCTGTTCCCTATTGCACCAGGTTGTAAAACCGAAGACACATAAGTAAATCTTGATGATAACAGACATTTTACTAAGTTAAAACCTTTCATGTGGGTTTTGACCATATATATACTGAAAGTGAGTTGTAAAGTGAAGCCAAGCATTGGACATGCAAATTGAATGCTGCATTAACCTATTGGTGAGACGCACTCAGAATAACAGATGTAATTTTTGTACCTGAAATTTATTTGGACTTCATCCCTCTCTGACATCGCTTTTGTCGGTGCCCAGGGAATTTGTGTATGGACAAACCTAATGAATTTGCTGTTACTATGGGTACATGTGAAACGCTTCCAAGAGAGGATGTCAGCAGGAAAGCAGGGTGGTGTCCATGACCTAGAGCTTCTTCCCAAGAAACCTGAAACAGCATTGGAACAAAAATGAAAGTGTGGGTTGCACCAGGAGGTTGCAACTCTGTAGAGGACACAGATTGTTTGCTACATGGTGCCACACACAGGGTGTGTGTGTGGGAGTTGTGCCCACCCCATACTGTCTCCTTTCTGGGACCTGTGGGCTTCATCTCCTCGTGTGCTCCCCCAAGAAGTGACCAACTGGTGATTAAGAAAAGTTAACAAATTGACACCACAAAATTGACACCACCTCCGCAAAACCTCCCGTAATAGAGATGCAAAATGGGCTCTGACCCAATCTGTCCTTGCCCTCCACCAAAGTCTCAAACCAGGAGTTTCCCTTTAACAGGGGGTGTCCACTTCTCCTGGGCATGCAGCTCAGGACTGCATTTCTCCACATTCAGATTGAAGTGCTAAAGTTTCAAGACACAGGATTACATGTTCAGACATTTCATTGCTTCAGATGCATTACAAAGCCGTGCTATTTTTGCTTGTAATGTGTTCTTCCTAAGGAACAGCATGAAAAGAAAAGTAAGATTTATTGTCCAAAAGACATTCCCCAAGGAAAAAAAAATATTAACGTGGCAACTTGTGATTCTTAATATGTAGATCAGATGGAGAAAATGTTAGTGATGGTATGAATACCAAGTTTTTCCTGTTCCAGAGTCAAGAAGGAAAAGTCATCCAAAGAGCCAGTGCAGATGTTCACCATGTGACCATACGTTTTTTTTTCTGTGGTCTGTTGAACAGATGATATAGCTGGGACCAATACTTTCAGACTTAATCAGATGTCAGGGCCTTAGTTGCATATATTGAAGAGGATATATTAAAGTTAACTGTGTGTCTTAGAGTGTTATTTCATGCCACTTGCAGAAAGATGTGGTGGGTTTAGGGTACATCTATGTCAGTATTTATTTATATGCAAGCCATCCAGATACATTTTTGTCCCATTTCCATTTTTTTGGAAAAGCTTTCCTCAGGTTCAGCAATTACAGTGCCATTCTGAGATGAGTCTAGCTAAGTCTGTTAAAATTTGGGATATTTTCTGATTTTGGTAGCTTTTCTGTCCTGTTTTGGGCTGACTGAAGGATGCACCTTCACCTGCTCACAACCTGTGACCTGAAGGAGGATTTCTGTTCACATTTTCCACTTTAAAATTGCACTTTTCCTTATTCAGCATAGGTTGTGAGGCTCAGGCCATCTCAGCTCAGTACAAAGTATGTGGAAGCTGAAAAAGTACATTCACTTCTACTTGAGTTACCTGAATCGTGCAAGTAAAGTCCTGAATTGTGCAGAGGCAGTATGTGACTCCTGCAGGCCCCTCTCCCAGGCAGAGTCTGGCAACAGATCCGTGACCAGGTACCAGCCCAAGCCTGAGAGGACATGAATCCTTCCCTCTGGTAGTGGAAAACACTGCTGGCACAGCAGAAATCAACTATTGTATCTGTGTGAACAGGAGGGGAACGCAGACAAAGATCAAAGCCAATTTACTGGTGCAAAGTCGGATCGCATCATTAGCAGTATAAAAAGGGATGTTTTCTTTTGTTATAAACCATTTTTTTTGCGTCTGTGACATTCCATTTTTACTATTTCTTCTCTCAAATTTGTAATTTTTTTTTTAATTTTTTTATTCTGTTTACTGTGAAATTGTGTGCATGTGAATCTGTCTTATGGTGTAGTTTGCATATATTGTGTTGCATGGGCCAAGGAATGTGCTGGTTGAAGACTCTGAATGCAAAACACATTTGAAGGGTTTGATTTTGCATGATGTGTGAAAATCAGATCCCTGTACAGTTCCACGTGTTAGATGTCTAAAGATGAGGGTGTGCAGAATCAGTGACCACCTAAATATGTATTTCTCCTTATCAGATTTCCTCAATTAAGAGGAGAAACTGCAAGAGGTAAATTATGGGATTTAAGTTATTTTCCTTTATTAAAGCATTGCTGCTCTGAGTATTCTGGAAGGATTGTTTCTACTGATGCTCTTTGCTGTTGGGACTCCAATGCAAATAACCAGTGTCTGCCACAGTCGGGATTTTTTCTGAATGTTGTTCTGTCTGACATTACACGGCTTTTCAAAAGGAATTTTTGTAAACTTTTAAAACACCAAAGGCTGATTGCTTTGAAATTTTAACAGTGTCAAATATTTCTTCGAAAGTGGGGACAGTAAAATGAAAGCTGAACAGGCACCTCTGCCCACACAAGCAAATTCTTTTTTGCATTTTCAAGTGTTTCTGCTGCTGGTTGCTATTGAAAGTTTGAAAAGTCTTTTTAGTGCTTGAATTGTGACACAAAAGAGGGACTGTTTCATTTTTCTTTTTCAAAGATGAGGAAATTTCAAAATTATTGAAGGCAATAAAAAGGAAAATGAAAAGGAAAACTAGAACAATTTTGATGTTATTGATTTTACAGCATCAGTGTGAAAAGAAAAGTGGAAAAAAAGCAGAAAGACTCTCTCTGTGTATGTATCTTGATTTTGTCAGGTTTCACATTTGAGTTTTTTCCCTAAGATTCTGATTTGCAATAGAAGTGATTTTTCTTTGAAATCCAAATTTTAATTTTCAGGCAGTTTTGAGAATAAATCTGGCTGGTTTTTTTGGAAAAAAGAATCCCTTCTATATATGAAGTGAATTGTCTTTTGCTGTCTAAAGAGTTCTACTTTTGGACAGTTAAATTAGAAATAACTAATAATATGTTAATTTATTATATGTCTTTGATTCCAACAATCCTTCCATCCCTGAGTTATGAGAGAAAACTAACTAAACTTGCTTGCTGGAAATACTTACCTTGTGCCTATTCCTGTAAGCCAAGACTGTCATCTGCAAACATGAATAAAGACTATTAATGTTACACGCACTGAATTTCAAGGAAATTTCTTGCAATATGTAAAAGTAATAATATGAAAATATGTTTGCAGGTTGAGACTGTTTTCTCCCCCAAACATATAATGCAGTTTCCACGTGGTAGCTATCTGATATTATGTCTATTTTTGTTTTAACACAATGAATACTCAGCAGCAGAGTAATACCGCTCACTGCCTTTTCCTTCTAATATTTTTCATGGCAAAATTCCAATTTATACAGTGCAAATAATCATTATTTCCAATAGGCTGAGGATCTTTCCTGGCAAGAGCATAACCAATGCCTTCTACTCCTACTTATGTCATTCACGATATTCCAGTGATGTGACATAGCATACAAAATCCATTACCCATAGAAGGATTGTGGGAAGGGGGGCAGGGGGGGGAGAGGGGAAAACAGGGAACATGCCTGGTGCTGTGAGGCACAAGGAATTAAAAGCAAAAAGCAAAGCAGGTGGAAAAAAATAACAACAAGGAAGCTTAATACATTGAAGAAGTACGGAGGGCTTGTGGACCTGGGGAACACTGAAATTGGTGGCTTAGTGGCATCGTTCAGTCCCCGCATCATTGTGGGGGAGTTAACTATTGTTAAACAGGGGTTTGCCACAGTCCCAAGCCCTTCCCTAGACTGCTTTTGAGGTACAAAGAAAGGACTTTAGCAGCAATCCCTTTTTTCACCTGGAAGCCTGCGGAGACTCCGTGCCAAGCAGAGCTCCTCAATTGTCTGTTGCAAAAAGACTCCAGCAGGATGCTAAAGCAAGAGCATGTTTTCATCACCGACTTTGCGAATGGGAGTGACTCATGTGCCATCTGTTTTGTCCCTCCACCGATCATATGCGCTCCCTGTTTGTGCTGGTTAATGCATTTGCCATCTATTAAAGGGAGAGGAAACTTTGGAACAGTCAAAACAAACACGCCTGAGAAAGGCTGAAGTTTTGAAAGGGGCTGCCTGGAAAGCCACTGCCACTCTCTCACTTCCCATTGAAACATGAGGTTCTGGGACAGGAACGTGCCAGGTGACAACCCACTGAACTCTGACAGCGGGGCAGGGGTTTCTGAGTGTCTGAGGGATGTCTGATTATGCGAAGCAGAGACTGATAGAGTGCACTAAATGCACCATGTCATGCCTGGGCTGGCAAACCCTGCTCCTCTGTGCCCATTGTTACAGCTCCGTGGTGGGCAGGGAGGGCAGTCCTGCTTCAGAGTCTGAGGGGGACTCTTCAGCCTGGAAGGGAAAGGACCGAGTGGGAGCTATGACAGCGTGGATTTGTGAGCAGTACAGAGAAGGGGAGCAGGGATTGCTCCAAATTGTGTGGAGGAGACCATTCAACCATTGTAAAAACTGTGAGGGAGGGGAACAATACATGAAAAGGGGAAGTTGGCACGTTCAGAAAAGCCGAGGAGACATTCAGTATTTATCTGAATGGTGGGACTTGCTGCAGGACGCTGAAACCTTACCTGGGGTTTCAAAGGTGCTTGAATAAATGAATGGAAAAAAATTTCCATCAAGAGCACTAAGATACAATGACAGCACCTCCGGCTCATGCTGCAGCGTAAACTCTGCGTGATGTTGGCACTAAAACCTGGACTCCAAATTACTAAGCCTTGTAACAGACTCAAAAGACTGATGCCAGAATAAACTGGAAAATTGGATTACTGGTCCCTTGGTCATGCACGGGCTGAAATTTTGCCACACGTTTCCTCTGAGGTTATGGTGTTCAGTTTAAGAGCCCACCAAGATGGCAGTAGCCCCATCTGAGGAGAAGGGCTATGCTGGGGAGTAGCCAGAACACGGCACATTCCACCCCTTTCCTGAATACTAACATCACCATAATATGCTGGTGACAGTGCTTTCTAACAGGACATTAATAGATGGCATAATTGGAGGAAAATCAGCAACAACTTGAGCTCTTCTTAAGCCTAACATCATGACAGCAGGCAAAAAGCATAAGCAGGGCCAAGGAATGACTTACTAGAGCACAGCCTGCCCAAGGAGCAGTCTTCCCTCGACAAACACCATCTTTCCCTCAGTGCCTTCCTGTCACGCTCTTGTACATCATCCCTTCCTGGTTTTAAGATTTTTATATACAAGTATATTGTGGCAGAAGTGCAAGACATGCTGTGCAAATGTGTTAAAAATATATCTTGGTTTTCCTGTCGTTTCAGGTCCTCCTCAGTGGGCAGCCTGACTCGGTCACATACAACACCCCACGAAGAGCTCATGGGTTTGGTGACATAGTTTCCTCCTCCCAGCTCAAGCCTAGACATGAGCCAGGATGTGTCACTGTCTTGCTCTAGCTGGTTTATGTTTCTCCTTAATCAGTGAAAATGTTACCTAGCTAAATGGGAATGAGGAACAAACTGTACCTATCACCAGAAAAGCTCCCTCGAAAACAGTTTCCAAACATATGCATGAGGTAATGAGCCTGTTTCCCTGACTATGTGTCACAGCACTCTGTGCTATTCTGGTTGTGTTTCACAAGCTGGCATTGCATTTTATTACTCTGTCTCCTGGTCTGCTCTGAGTCAGTCAGTCTGCACAGTCTCAGGCTCCTCTTGTGAGAAACCACAGCTACGCCGGGCAGCTTCTTTCAGCCCCACACCACACTTCTGGATGAAGCATGACTTTAAGCTCTCTCTACTTTTTCATTTTTCCCTTTCCTATCTCTAGCTGTGTCTTTTTGCAGCGTGATATGAAACCGTTTGTAATGGGGAAAGGTGCACAAACCTTCCCAGGGTCCCTCTCTCCACTTCCCTGCCAGGAACAACAGCCACAGACACACAGTGGTGTCATTCAGTACAAGGAAAAAGTGCCTTCAGAAAATAGGTGCAAGGTGTTGTTGAGAAGGCTCAGCCTTTTTCTTATGAAATCTCTGAGAGCTCCTTGTGCATTACATCAGCTTTATCAACAGTTTACAAATATCCCCCCCTCTGGAAACATTTGTCACAGTAGATTATTTTATTCAGTGCTGCTGTATGTAAAATGCAGAATGTTAATACTTTATTTGGCTAAACATGCATGATTTGGGAAGACAGGTGAAGTGATGGATTAATCATCAGGCTTTTAACTCTCAGTCTTGTTAGCTGCAGTTTTAAATGTTGTTTATTTGAAATTACAGTGTGGGTATGATGTCTAAGTGGAAGCTTAAATTAAAGCTGCTTTTCCTTTTGGTAATAAGCTAAAGGATTGATTTAAAATCTGTCATTTTCTCTCATACCTCGATGTTCATATAGACTTATCACAAATAACTCAATGACAAAGCTACAGCTACTACATTTTCCTTCTGCTTTCTATGAATGTCTCTAAGCCTTGACCTACAGAACCTTTCCTACTTATTGTAGGAAAGTCATTTTACAGACAAAAAAAATTACAGACATATGGAGACATGGCTATGAGTCTTTGGCATGGAAATAAAATGAATCCAATTTTACTGCTCTCATTGAGTGGGCAAATCACCCTTTATACATCTCACAGATGTCCCAAGTCACCTTCTTCAGTATCTATTCATAGATTTTGTGCTCAAGACATCTCGACTTCAAAAAAATTCTTCTGAGGACAGCACACAGTATTGTCTGGGAAGATAGGGGTATTCCTGCTTTGAATTTGTGCTGTGGAAGAGAGAGGTGAATATTAGTTTTGTCAGAATGTCAATTGAACCAAAAGAATGGAAAAATGTTCATCTGATGCTGAGCCAAAAAGGGTATTTTTAAGGATACGTTAGTGAAACTTAAATGCTTTACTTAAATGAAAAAGAGATTTTTCATTTTGGGAGTATTTAACCCTTTTAACCTTTTTCTGCTCTATATTTGTTTAGATAAATAGTGTTATTTCAGAGAAATTGCTTGCTTTGTTGTCAGACAGAAGATGTAGGTGTTTCTGAAATGAAACATTGATCAAGCAGCATCCAAACACTGTGTTTTGGTGTAATATTCCCAGTACTTTTCCAGCTCTATTTCACAACAAACTTTTTAGTTCCCAGGGATGTTTTGCCCAGTTGAGGCAGAGGCTGGTCTGGGTCAGTGAAAGACAATAAGCAGAAAATCCTTCCTAAAAGAGTTAGAGACAAAAGAACATTTCGAGAAGCAAATCCTTCTTCCTTGACTGGTGCTGGAGGGAAGCTGTTGATTAAATGGTCTTTAGTGATGCTGGATGATGCTCTTCTATATTCTACTCCCGGGAACTAGCATTTATTATCTTTCAGATATGAGGAGAGGTACAAAAGACCTGTGTTGCTAATTGGTGTAGCAGCTGGCATATAGTTATTTGTTGCCAGAGATGTGCACTTTGCATTTAAGGGTTCTAATGTTTTAATTTCATTTGTGACGGCGCTGTCTAGAGGCAAAAGCTGTGATGTTTGTGTTCAAGCCCAGCCTGTTCACAGCACTGAAGATTCACCTTGTCTGCCACAGTATATTTCTCCATCCTTGGGTAATATAATTACCCTGAATAAGGAAAGAAAGTGTGAGGAAATCATGCTGAGCCTCACAGCAGCTTGGGGGAATGATGCTGGAGCAACCTCATAACCACTACCAGTGCACTCACCTTAGCTGATGTCCACTTTAGCATGACTTTGACAGGACAAACTCTGGAAAACAGCATTTTCAGGAGTACAACAGGAGATGAAGGCTTGCCAGCGTTTATCATCTGACAGTAAGTAAGTAAACAAGTTGGCGGCAACATCTAAGATTATCTCCTCTCTGCTTGGGACTGGGTTATATTTCAGCTGAGCCTGTGATGGAAGAGAAGAACTTGTGTTTATTTTTATCTTCAGCTTTCACATTGGTAGTTGTTTTTGTTCCAAGACACTGTGGTGCTTGGAGCTGGACTGGGCTGGAAGGTGCTGGGGTCCAACAAAGGACTTCTGGGGAGTCACATTGCTGTGAGGCCACACAGACACCATTCCACAGTGCAACAGCATCACCTCCAAGGCAGCTCAGACACACCCTCTTCCAGAGCATGTGGTTTGATCCTGTCACCATTTGCCTTCCTTGGAAGAATTTCTTCTAAACTGCCTTTTATCTGCTTTTCTCCTTCTAAATCTCCATTGCAATTGTTCATAGTTGGCTGTGATTAGTTTGTATTTCTATGGCTTTCCTGCACTGAATAACCACCATTTTATTTTAATTATTGGAACACAATAAGAAAAAGAATTGGGGAGAAAAGGGATAAGCTGTGAGACTATCTATTCGTAGCATTGGTTTCCTGCGTCTACCAACAAGTTTTTCACTCGCCTAGATAAAGGTATTTTATCCTACTCATTCTTATTTGTTTTCTTGCATCAGAATCCTGCTTTGCTTCCTTCCTTTAACTCTTTTATTTATGTAATGTTCCTATTGCAATTTACTGAACTGGAAGAGGATGTTAGAGTTCAAGCTCAGTTTTGGCCTAGTCTGAGCCTCTGTACTTTTTGGAGGACAGGATTTCTTGGGTAAGTGGATTAGTGTCTGTCTTTGTGCTGTCCAGGGCTTCATCAAATTGCTACTAAAATCATAAGAGATAAAACCTTTGGCAGTTAAAACTACGTATTTTTGGGACTGCTGCCTTTTGCATAACACACACTTGGGACCTCTAGTTGTTATCTGAGGTCTGAGAGTTTTATCGGATTTATTTTCAGACTTATAATAAAGGGATAGACTCCATTTGGGAAGCAAATTTATTGTCACCCTCAATGGCCTGTTTGTCACTGTGCACAGGAGGATTTTAAATCTGCTCTTTAGAAGATAAGAATGAACAGAATTTCTGCTGATTGTGCTCCCTTTGGCTCCAGGATTTTGTCCAGACATCTGAGCTGTAGAAACAGGGAGACAGAAGCAGACTGACCACGTTGTTTTATCAACCACTTCAATGTGCAGTATTTTGAGTGAAACCCTGTCTTCCCGCTGCGTTGCTCCTGTTCCACATCTGCTTCCCGGCCTCACTCGTGTGCTGCTCTCAGCTTTGCTGCAGGAAACACGTAGCACAGTGTTGATCACAAACATTACTACAGACTCTTTTATTTAGCCAAGAGCAATTGCAAAATGGGACTGTGTCTGCCAGACAAACACATGGTCCAGGTCAGAAATAGGTTAATTAAAAGGAGATAAGCAGGGCAGGAAGTCCTGAAATAGATAATATTAGTTGGCATGATCTTGACTTTGAAACTTACTTAATAGTTTTCCTTTTCAGAGAGTTTATTTATGTTCTAAATCTTATTCTTTTGAGCAAGGAGGAGAGGAAATGTGATTAAGTGAGATTAAGTGGCTTTTAATTCACATTTTTTCTCTTTCCAGCTGTATGCCTGCTACTCCTTGTGTTGAAGTCAGTGCTCTTGCATTCAGTGGGGGCAGAACCAGAGCCTGAATAAATAATTGAACGCAGTTCAGTGAAAAGTGCTCCATGTGGAATTTCAGAATTGTGATGACACTGGATGTAGCAAACTCTCATTTAACACGGGCAAAAGACTGTGTGTGCTAAAGCACAAACCTGTACATTTGCTTAATTAAAGTTCCTAGAGTCAAGGCAATGGGGAGGGGTGAGGAAGGCAGGGAGGGAGAGAGGGCAGGAAGCCTGTGGCAGCTCAAAGCATTTTGCCTGAGAAGGACAGGAGGCTGCATCTCTCCCAATTCCTGTCACCTTTTTCATGGGCAGGATTTGTGCTTGCAAATCCATGGCCAAAGAGTTACCTCATGGCTTATGCAGGCACCCACATACAAATTTCAGGACTTGTTCACCTTATCCACACTTAAACTCACTCACTGTAGTGGTAACAAGTCCCCTTAAGCTCTCTCGTTGCACAGAGAGAATATTTGTGTTTTCCTAAAAGTGGGATGTGCCCTTTGGTGACACAGCCAACTGCTTGTAGGTGGCCTATAAGGGTGGCTCAAAAATCATTAGAGAAAGCTATTAATGAAAATAATTTTCAAAGTGTACCTTCAGGGGGATGCAGCATCTGAGCAGCAGCCACCTGTGGTGCAGGGGCCGGGGATGCAAACACCACAAAGCATGTGGTGCATCTGCACCAGGGTCTCAGGACACTGAAGAACACCAATTCACAGCCTTGTCAGACCTGACACAGCCTTGTCAGGATGTAGCTATCCTGACTGGGATGTCAATACTTTCTGAAATGGATAGGCTTATGTAGCCCACTGAGACAATGAAGAGATGCTGACTGCCTGGTTGCCAAATGCAACCTTATGTCATAGATCTTTCAGACATGAAGTTTGGACTGAAAAACTGTAATTCCTCCAGCCACAAAAGAAGAGAAGAATTTATTTTCTCTAGAAATCAGATCCTTTGTGAAATGAACTTCCATGGGCTTTTTGGCAGTAAGTGGTATGTTTCTCACCGAGTTGCATTCTTCATATATTGACTATGCTTACCATGAAATTACAAATACATTTAACATTAAATTGACCAAATTTCACTATCAATTTTCTG